CGGATAGATAGATAGATAGATAGGTAGATAGATGGATGGATGGATGGATGGATGGACGGACGGACGGACGGACGGACGGATGGATGGATAGATACAGATAGACAAATGATAGATAGATAGATAGATAGATGGACGGATAGATAGATAGATAGATGGACGGATAGATGGATGGATGGATGGATGGATGGACGGATAGATAGATAGATAGATAGATAGATAGATAGATAGACGGACGGATAGATAGATAGATAGATAGATAGACAAATGATAGATAGATAGATAGATGGATGGATGGATAGACGACAGATAGATAGATGGATGGATGAATGGATATATAGATAGATAGATAGACAGACGGACGGACGGAAGGACGGGTAGATAGATGAACAGACAGATAGATAGATAGATAGATAGATAGATGGATGGATTGACGGACAGATAGATAGATAGATGGATGAATGGATAGATAGATAGACAGACAGACGGACGGAAGGACGGATAGATAGATGGACAGACAGACAGATGGATAGATAGATAGATAGATAGTGAATACATCCCACTCCCCCTCACCGCCGCCTTCCTTCAGAATCTGTGCGCATGCCCGGTAGTATACAGCGTCATCCGGGTCCTTCGCAAGAATCGCTCTGAGAGGAGGCGGGAAATGGCGTCCCGAGCAGCTGTAGCAGATCCATCTGTCGTTCTGTGACTCGCGCTCAGCGGAGAGGAGAAGTGACGGACGGGCCGCTTCAGCCGCTGTGGCCAGATCCACAACCATCTCCGGATCGTGCCGTTGCGACCCTTGGCATGTAAGTGTTTGAACGGAGCATATTTTGATCGCATACATGCGAAAATGAATTTTTAACCCTACGCCACGGTCGCAGTGCTTTGAAATCTCGCGTCTTCACGACTCGCCCCCTCCGTCTGTGAGAACACGCTCTTCATGCAGATGAAGACGGCTCTGCGCTAATGTTTGTACCGCATTTAAACAAATACTGATTTATAAATAAAACACCATAGGATAAATAAATAAAAACGTTTCTTTGTCGTTTTCCAAAGCGTGTTTACTGAATAAAAAGGCTGGTTCGCTAGAGCGCGGTTAACAAGTCATCTGTTAGCGTTAGCCGCTGACATTAAAACCCCTCGGACTCAAATATTCCCCTCAAAATAAGATGTGCTATTAAGATGAAAAACCTGGCGTGGGTAGATCGAAGTCGGTTGGCCAATTTCACGTGCGACTGCTGTTGGCGATTTTATTGTTTTGATGTCAAAACCACTGTCCAGTTGCCTTGCTAACTTGCGAGCGACCATTTTTAGCTCAGTAATGTTTAGCTCGAAGGCGCGAACTGACAACAAATACTGAGGTAGCTCGTGTTGTTAGTGGTGTATTGTGTTGGCTGGAGAGTATAAGGAGATTTACAGCACGGGAATGTGCTAGAAATTATCGACAGGCTAATGGCAAGCTACATTTGTTTAGATTCAACAAGCAAAGCGGGCTATGAAGGAGACATGATTCACCCCCGCCCACCTCAAACACATCTGAGGACTTTCACTAGTTTATGTCTGCTGCACATACCGGTGCTTTTATGAAAACACAAAACCTTTAAGAGAACTATTCTCATATTTCTGTATTTAATTCTCATCGTTATGACTGTCGAACATAGTAGAACCGATTACATATAATCACATGCACACGCTGCAATGTCACTAAATATCAAAGATAGTTCATTGTAAAGATTTAAAATATTAAAGTTGTATTTTTTTTCTGTATGTATTAGAACAGCATGTACATCTTTACATTTATGAAAGAGTAATTTAATGACACATTTGCATATTCATCTTTATTAATGGTCACATGACATGAAAGTAAATGGATAAAATATTACATTTTTGTTACGGTTGTTTTGTTTTAACTAGCTAGACTTTAAAGTGGACTCACCGCTTTTTGGTTAGTTTAACTTTAGTTACAAAAATATTAGCCTACTGTAAATTACATTTGTAATGTAAAATAAAAAGATCATCGTTTTTACACTACTAGTTACAGTGCTAATATTTATGTCTTAAATTCTTGACATTAAAATGTTCATAAAGTAAACCTAGCACACATGTCTGCGAATGCATGTTAAATTTGCAGCACATGCAGAGTTGTAGTTTGCTACATTTACTGTGCTGCTTTCTGAATACACTGGATCACGAGCTGCTTATACGAACAAGTGCCTGCGCTTTACTTTGAAACATGCAGTGCATTAGACTACACAGTTTCTTAATTAAATTGCAGCCTTTGATAATCACATTAATTGAATTTTTCCTTTATTATAATTATTATCTTTTCATCAACTCATGAACCCCTGTTTGGGGAACCTTGATTTAGAGTCAGTTTCGGTCCTAGTGAGCCGCAGTCCTGCAGAGTTCAGCTCCAACCCTGAAAAAAAACCTCACCTGCCTATAGCCTTAGTAATCCTGAAGACATTGATTAGCTTGTTCAGGTGTGTTTGATTAGGGTTGGAGCTCACTGGTTTCTCTACTGATCCTATAGCCTTAGTAATCCTGAAGACATTGATTAGCTTGTTCAGGTGTGTTTGATTAGGGTTGGAGCTTAACTCTGCAGGACTGTGGCTCTCTAGGACCGAACTTGCCTACACCTGATCTAGACAAACACACGGCTTTATTGTCCTTTAGGATTCTTATGTTTTTAGAATATTAAGACATGTCATATTTTAGCAAATTAAAAATGTATAATTCTTAAAGCAAAGTCGTAATTGCTTGCCAGTATTTTTTATAGGGGTTTTTGCCATTTTTATTGATAGGATAGTGAAGAGGGGGCAGAGAACAATTGAGCTGGATTTGAGTCTGGTTGCCTACATAAATGTCACCATTGAACTTGTTGGAGCAAAATTTATCGCTGAATATCTATTCCAAGTAGATAATCTCACAAATCCCGTACGCAAGAGCATCTGTGTCAAGGTTTGCAACCAGGTTTAACCCATCATAGTCAATAGTTTACGGTGATATAATTCCCCATTGAGAGGGTGATGATTTCCCCATCTTTTTTGGCACTCTCAAAGAAAGCCTTTAGGGTGCTGTGGAGACCTTTCTTGTCAATGGCACCAGGGGACAGATCTGATTGTTTTCCTTGAGTTGCCATGACTGATCTCCGCAGTGGAATTTCCCAACAGCCGTGTTGGCAGCTGAAGTGTTACTAATGTAGCGGTGATGAAACTTATGCAAATACGCATGGTGCAGCTCTGTGCATTTTTTTAAATAGTAGATTAACTGTTTTTGTCTTTTCCAGTCTTGCATGTGATTTTTGGGACAATGAGGCTGAGAGTGCGTAAGGCATCTCAGCAGCGGAGCACCACCCCATCCGCCCGGACCGCCAAGACCAAGAGGAAGCACTCCGAGGTGGAACACACTTTGTCCTCCGAAGACGCCAAGATGCAGAAGCGAGACACAGGCATTTTCTCCACCATCAAACGGTTCATCAGAGGCAATGCTGTCAAGGTTAGGATTTGAACTTGTGTTTGAGATGACTTTGTGGAGTCAAAAGTGGTTTGGTTTCAGCTGTGTTTCTTAATGTTAGGTGGAGCAGTGCACTCCTGCTAAGAGAAGCCGTGTAGACTGCGATTCGGACAGTAATCTGATCACATCCACTCCGACCGCTGGGAGCCTGCCCAGCAGAGCAAACCCCAGAACCCGCAGGAAAGGCCCTGTCAATGGAGGTAAGAGTGCTGACCCTCACAGATAATCAGGATGCTGCTCCTTTAAAGGGATAGTTCATTCAAAAATGAAAATTTGTCATCAATTACTCACCCTCAATTTGTTCCAGACCTGTATGAATTTTTTTTCAGTTGCTGAACACAAAAGAAAGTATTTTGAAGAATATGGGTAATCAGACAGCTGCCAGTAGCCATTGACTTCCATAGTATGGAAAGAAAAATACTATTGGAAGGCAATGGCTACGGTCAACTGTTTGGTTACCAACATTCTTCAAAATATCTTCTTTTATGCTCAACAGAAGAAAGAAACTCATACAGGCTTTAAACAACTTGAGGGTGAGTAATTGATGATAAAATTTTGGGATAAACTTTCTGTATGTGAATTAAACATTGTTGTGAGTAGTTATGCCGACTGCCAGCGTTCTCTTGGTGTTGAATGTTTCTCATTTTCTTCTGCTCAGATACCATGACAGGTCAGAGTAAACCAGTGAAGCCCAATGGGAAGCTGGAGGTGCAGACGGAAATTCCGAGCAGTCCGTCCCGCACCACCCTCCTGGGAACCATCTTCTCTCCTGTTTTTAGCTTCTTCTCACCCGCCAACAAAAACTGTAAGGGACTGTGATCTCACTTGTCAGCTGATAAATGTATGCACCTAAATCACACTGAGATATTGTCATAATAAAATTTAGTTAGTTCCGCCTATTCAGACCTTTTGATGTACAACATTTTTTTTTAAAGTCACATTTAAAGTCATCATGAACTCAATATTGACCATATTTATTTTCTTTACACACATTCCTGGGGCCGGATTCACAAAACATTAAAAATAAAATAAATTCTTCTTAACTGCTATTTTCATCATCTTTTTTAAACATAAGATTAAAGGTAAGAATTTCAATCATTACAAAGTTTTAAAAAAGATGTTATGAAAGAATCTTAAGAATGTTCTGAAGACATGAAATTGAAATTCAGAAGTCACTGAATTTAGATAATTTTTTATTTATTTATCAGTAAGTCTTTGCCAAGAATTGCCAAATAATCAGCACTGATTTAATGCTGGCTAATTTAATAAGTTACAGCACTTGAAGATAAATTTGGAAAAGCATGTTTGTCATTGGGAAACACGATGCTCTGAAAAAGCCTTTCTTGATTTTTTTTTTTTTTCCCCCTCACTATTCTAATCTGAATTAGAAATTTGTCACGTATGGAAGTAACGTTGGTTGTAAATATTGTTTCATGTTGCCTTTAAAAGAGGTCCAGCACTCACATGACCATAAAATCAGATGAAGACCATCAGAAGTCACATCAAAATGTCTAAAGAAGCAAATAGGACTAGTATTTTTGTCATAATATAGCAGAATTAAAATTTCAAACAGCAGCATTTCTGAGCTAGAGCAACTGCTGTCGGAGACCCTCAGGTTCAGGTGCAGCCATCTTATCGGTGGCACCTGCTGCAATATGAATCTAGTGAACCAAAACAATGCATTTACCAGCAAAATTGCAGCGTTTTTTGTTCATTCTGAGCTCTTTCTGATTTCATCACGCTGTTAAACCGACTCTCTCTCTCTTGTCCTCCAGCTACGGCGGGCTCAGATTCCCCGGGGCAGGCGGTGGAGGCTGAGGAGATTGTGAAGCAGCTTGACATAGAGCAGCTCGAGGAAACCCCGACCAGCACTACCACAGATGTCCGAGACCTGACCTTTGACCCTGCACTAAACCCTAGACCGCTGCCTCTCATAGACACATCGGTAGAGGAAGGAGAGATCATCACAGAGGCTGATATGCCACCGCTAACTGGTGAGTGTCTGGGATGTTGTTGTTGTTTTTTTAGCTGTACCACTATGTAAAGTTGACAATCCTCATATTTTCTCTCTCGGTTAGCCGTAGGATCCAACAGCAGTTATCCGGATGTCCCGCCGTCACCTCCAGCGGAAGGGACTTACGAAGAGGACTGGGAAGTTTTTGACCCGTGAGCCAAATTTCAACAGGTTTGATCTAAATAACCTCAGTATAGCCACATGCTTGTGTGCTAACTTGCCTCTGTCTTCCAGTTATTTCTTCATCAAACACGTGCCACCCTTGTCTGAAGAGCAGCTCACCCGTAAGCCTGCACTCCCTCTGAAAACCAGGAGCACGCCCGAGTTCTCTCTCGTCCTGGATCTAGTAAGTTGCCATCCATCATTAGTCTTAGCTTCTTAATGCAAAAATTAAGGTGCCGTTGTTTTATTTTAGGATGAGACTTTGGTCCACTGCAGCCTCAATGAATTGGAGGATGCAGCCTTGACCTTCCCTGTGCTTTTCCAAGATGTCATTTACCAGGTAAAAAAACCCTCTCAATGATTCAAGTTTTGTACCTTTTTTTTTTTTTGCACTGGTTTGTATGTAGCTCTAACAGTGGTTTGCTCTCTTATTCCTAAAGGTGTATGTCCGGTTACGGCCATTCTTTAGAGAATTCCTGGAACGCATGTCTCAAATTTATGAGGTGAGTGAGGTTTTGTTTAGTTTTTTTGTTTAAACATTATTTTTGTTTTGTTTTTAATACCATAATGCAGCTGGCATGTTTATTCATTCATTCATTCAAAAAACATGCAAATGTGTGTTCCATTACTTTGTTAATGCAATAAAGGCACAAATCCAATAAAATGTGTTAATTATTATCTAACAAAAAACTGCACATGAAAAGTACCAATCAATACATCAAGCACTACAATCTGTTGAACTGGTTGGATTCATTTTTGAAAGTGTTAATTATTTATATATTATTATGGATTTTTTAAATTTTGTTTAATTTTAAGTAATTTTGTTATGTGCTTTTCTTCTTTATTGACCTTCATCAGTTTTTGTGTTTTTTCTATTTCTTTTTATTAATACTCTTTAGGTTTCATTTATTATTATTTCAGTTTTAATTGATTTATTTCCAGGTAACAGTTTTAGTGCTTTAACTTGAACCTATTTCAGTTTGTTGCCAATGCAACATTTATGAATTGTTTAATGTTTTCAACATTTCTTTTTCTTTTTCTTTTAGCTTTATTTCAATTAACAAAAGTGCTTGTAGATTTAGTCAATGATAATAACCCTGTCTGTAAAAAAATAAAAATATTTGTGGAGTCCCACATTTTGCATGCAACCCCTTCCACTTTACACAAATTACAACCATTTATATCTGTTACCGAACTTGTTGATCAAACAAGCTTTTTTCCCCTTTTTTTTTAAAATTAACATGTTAAATATGTTTCAAACAACTTCAAACCAATGTTTGGTGCCAATTATCTGGCTATTTCTAAGTGAAGTTTTGTTTTGTTCTTCTGTCTTGTTTTGTTTTTGGTTTAAGGCAAATCAGATTTTTGTTGCAAAAATGATTTAAAAATAACAATTAATTTGCGTAAGAGTCCTCAGTTGTTGGTCCTTCATGTGCGTGTTCAGTCCTGCTTTTTTTTTCTTTTTTCTAACTAATGAATATCCTGCCAATGATGTGATCTACTGCTTTCATTTATGACTGGCATTAATGATGTAACCTTGAATTATCTGCAGATTATCCTCTTTACTGCTTCCAAGAAGGTGTATGCTGACAAGCTGCTGAACATCCTGGATCCTAAAAAACAGCTGGTTAGGTCAGTTCTCAAGCAGGTGCCCTCTCAATATAAAAAGTGACTTTTAATGGCATTAAAACTGCATGTTTCCTTTTCCACTAATAGTGTGTAGGTGTGATGGGAACAGATGTGTGTCTGGATTCTCAGGTTGTAAGATGTTTTAGGTGAGTATTAAGCTCAAAATGTCTTTCCTCTGGTATTTCAGGCACAGATTGTTTCGCGAACACTGCGTATGCGTCCAAGGCAACTACATCAAAGACCTTAACATCCTCGGGAGAGATCTCTCCAAGACGGTGATCATAGACAACTCACCTCAGGCTTTTGCCTACCAGGTTTGTGAAGCCGCCTTGAGTTTCACCTCCATTGAAGTGGTGAGTTATTAGTATGTAAAGCTTAGGATGTGTTCCTCTCATTGCAGCTTTCCAATGGGATCCCCATTGAGAGTTGGTTTGTGGACAAGAATGACAATGAGCTCCTAAAGCTGGTGCCGTTTTTGGAGAAGCTGGTAGAACTGGTACGTGCGTCTTGTCTCTTGAGTGTGCTGCTTTTGAAGGATAATATGCTTTATTTTCAAGATACTGTTTTTAGAAATACTTTCTCCTATACTAGTTTAATCTTTGGAGACACAAATATGCCATTTGCAAAAATCCAGTTTTTTTTAATTAGGATTTCTTTGCAATTTAATTCTTAGAAATGATCATTAAAATTATAATAAAAAATATAAATTATTTTAACTCAAACACACCCTTTTTAAAATACTCTATTTATAATACCTGTGCTTTTGATTACATTTTTTTTTTGTTAAAAGTATGTTTTTGCTATGCCAATTTATGAGTATTTCCCAGACTTAGTATCATACAGTTATAAATGTCTTTTTGTGAAGACTATACCCTCGTTATGAGATTGATTTTAATTTTTCTTTTTAAATAACAATTAAATGTACTTTTATTTATATGAAATTATTTTATTTCTTTGCCGTTTAATTTTTAGTAACAATGGTATAACAATAATTTATTATTATTATTACTCAAAACACACACTTTCATAATTTTAAGATAAAAACATTTTAAAAAAGCCTTTTTAACAGTAAACATTTATTTACAAAAGTATTATCCATATTTAATGTCATACATTATATTGTCATAATGTAAAGACTATACCTTCATTATGTAATTTGTTTAAAATAAATGTGTACTTTTATTTATGAATTTATTAAATAAATTATTTGCAATTTAATTCTTAGAAATAATTATAATCTCAAACCACACATTGACAATTAAATTTTTTTTTTAAATAACCTTTTTTTTTATTAACAGTAAACTTTTGTTTCTGTACCAATTTACAAAAGTATTATCCATATTTAAAGGTCCACTGAAGTGCTTTGAAACACAGCATTATTCTGTGTTGACGTAATTTCAACTGAAACAGGAAGACAGGGCGGGACACATCATGCAGCCCCGCCCCCTTTTTTAAATAACCAGTCGTGTTTCGTTTATATCACAGCTTGGGCCAGAGCCGTTGATCTCGGTAAAGCCGCATTTCACAGCGAATGACAGCCACATTGTTATAGATTACCCCTTTAGATTCAATATGAAACTGTTACTAAAGCAAAGCAGTGATTATAATGATGCTGAGGATGTGAAGTTTAAAAGGTTTATCTCTTCTACTCGTCAGTGCTGTTTAACTGTTTCTCCTTCTAACCTCTTCCATATTGAGATAAACTATAGCATTCTGTGTAAAATTCAAATGGGTCCGATACTGCGGCGGTTCGCGTGACAGCACGACACCAGACTTCTTTCACCCCAATGGAAAGCATATTTACACTGTCTGAATGAACTACGTGTCATTCATCGTAAAGAAAATACTAACTCTGTTAACAAGTGACCAATTTTAGCTGCAGTTTCAGCGTCTATTTAAAGAATAGGGGTGGGACGCTTCGGATTCTAGAGAGCATTTGATTGGACAGAAAGTTTGATGAGAAGCTGAAGTCCAGGGTGATGTCATCAAAACAGTAGCTTTTGAATGCTTATATCTTGTAAATGCAAATTTTGTCATTGTTTTGGAGCGCACAGATAACCTTAAGGCTAACATAGTCATACTAAAAGCCAAAAAACTTCAATTTTGATTTCATGGGGACTTAAATATTTTACATTATAGTGTCTTAGTTTAAGGACTATGTAATGGTGAATTTTAATTCATGTTTTTTTTAATTTTTTTTTTACATCAGGTAAAACATTTGGCTGTTGGCTAAAAATAAACTGTTTATTTCTGCATCATGTGGATTCAGGAATTATGCACTGCACTAGGCATGGGCCGTTATGAGATTCTGACGGTATGATAACCTTAGATAAAAATATCACGGTATTGCGATTACAGCTCTAAAATATGTTATTTTTAAATGTCTGGGTAAAAAACAACAACTTTTTTCCCCACTGAACAAAATACTTTTTTTTTTTTTTAAGAAACAGAACATTTTGGAACAGTAAACATGACAGGCTAAATAATTAAAATAAATAATTGAATTCTTCTTAATTGAATTAAGTGCAGTCACTTAAGTGAGCCTAAACCTGCAGCTCAACAATAATCAGAACATAAATAAATTATTTTCTGTAAAAAAAAAAAAAAAATCCTTCTAAATGGAAAAAAATGCAGTCACTTAAGTGAGCCTAAACCTGCAGCTCAATAATCAAAAGCATAAATCAAAACAATTTCTGTAAAATAAATAAATAAAAAATGCAGTCATTAAACCTGCAGCTCAACAAGCTCGGTGAAGTAACGTGAGGGAGGAGACTAGCTGACGTTAGCTAGTAAATTAGCCATGTTATCTGCCTCGGTAGCAAGCCAAATAGTGTTTATTTCAACACTGAAGCAAACGGAGGATGGGTCTTGATCGGGGGTGAAAGAGGGAGAAATGAAGATGACGCAGATAGTCTCACTGACTGCTCGCACCAACCGGAGGAGGAGGGGTCGTGTGACTCGTTACTCTCTTCGCTGCACACAACCGAGGGAGTCCTGCACTTTCCATCTTTGATGAGACGTTAAAAAAACTGTGCATACCGCAGGAACGGTATAACGGAAAATTTGAGTGGTTTTGAGATCGTGACTTTTTCAAACCACGGTATACCTTGAAACCGGTTATCGTCCCATGCCTACACTGCACCTTTAAATTCAAAATAATTTTACACTCATGTCTAAGGTGTCATTTACAACTATCTGTTTTTGTTGACGTGGCATGTTTGTGGTTTTGTTCCAGAACCAGGACGTTCGGCCACACATTGTGCAGCGATTTCGCCTGCATGACCTTCTACCCCCAGACTGAATGTCGCAGCGAAAGATCATTTCTTGCCAGCCTGACTGTTTTTAAGCAGTAGGGATTTTACACCATGGGGAAAGGAGAATTTGCCACAAACTCTTTGCCATAAGGATTTTAACTACAGACTTGCCTACATGGGCGTCATTTTATGTTGGGTGGGAGGGAGGGGGTTTTCGGGGCTCTGGACAAATGTTTTAAAACAAATGACTTGATGTATGCATACATTTTCTATACACACACATTTATGAAACCGAAGGCGAGGCCGAGAAGATCATTTTTGATTGGTCGTCCATCTCGGCTCTGCGGTGGAGTTTATGCCTGATTTGGACTTTAAGGTAAAGCGCTGTGCAGAAGTGGATTTGCGTCACTCCTTTTGGTGCTCAAAGGGACCCTCTGCCCTTCCAGGCCACTGGCTTTTACTTCAACGAGAATGACCTGTTGAATATAAATATATAAAACATGAATATATACATTCAGCTATGTGTGTATATGTATATATAACATTTGTACATATATATTTTTTCCTGTCCAGTTTGTAAAACACGACTTGCCTTTTGGTTTTAATTCATTATGCATTCCTTTTTAGTTCAAGGTCTTTTTTCATAGACAAGCTGGCTTTTTATTAATTTTTTTTACTGTAGATTTTATGTATATTTAATGGCCTATCCGTTACGCTCTAGCTTTTTCTCGTAATCCGGTAAAATGTAATCCAATATCTGGTCACATCCCATATGGAAAACATAACAAAAATGCTCATTTGTAAATTTCAATCTTGATTCTGTCTGTAGTTGTGGCTTTCAGTTACTGACCGCTTACTACCATTTATCCATGTCAGTCCTAATTTGGAGATTTTAACTTCCTGTTCTTAGTTTGTTTTTATATACAAGTATAGATTAAATGTAAAATACTGTATGTGCTTTAAATTGCTTTTCTGTGGAAAAAAATAATAATGCTTTGTCTCTTTCTGAAATGTCTGGTAATTGTAGCACCAGCACATGAACTAGCTTAAATCACTGCATATCTGCTATATTCCGTGCTTTTCCCCCTCATTCCGCCTCTCCTGCGCTCCTGCTTTGGAAACTGTTTTAGGAATTATCATGTACAGCTCTACCTACCTCTGAAGGGTAGACCTTCCGTTTCATTCAGTGTTACCCCAATGTTTTTTTTATTTCCATGGACATTAATACATGATTTCAATGTACCAGAATTGTTCGAATTGGTTTTTCTTTGTCATTTGGGAGGAAAGCATCACATGTGGCCTTGATTTGTTAGTTTTATCCTGTTCAGATGAATGTTTTCAGTTCTAACTATAAGCTCATCATTACAGTACGTATGACTGATGATTTTTATTGTTTAAGAGGAAATGAGACTTGAACTGAGAAATTAGGATTTGGGGGATCTTTAATGGCAAGGGCCTCAAGTTTTTGAGAGAATTGGTCAATTTTAACTTCTGGCAGCTCTTGTCAATTTAGGTAAATATTTTCTCAAAATGGCAGCTTCTGTTCTGGGAATAAGAACATGTTGTCAATGGATCAATTAACTAGATTTTAATATAAAAAATGCAGTTGATGAAATTAGTATTTTGATTGGATGTTTGTGTGATTGCAAATGTCTGTTTGTGAATAACGGGGCCTTTGTTAAAGATGGCTGTAAATGCAATGAATGTATTTCAGTGTAGCTTGAGCAGCAAGAAAACAATCTTAAGATCTTTTCAGATTATGTATAGTTTCAAATGTATGTGTTTTTCCTGAAATAGTCTCTCTCTATATATATATATATATACATACATACATACAGTGAAATTGAATTTCTTATTGGGTCCTGGACTTTGGTTTCATGTAGCTTTGACTATTAAAAACAACAGTGGTTTATCACTGAAAACAGCATGCTGAAGAGTTCATAACTGAAACATTAAGGGTTGGTTTTTGCACATTAGAAAGTTGCAATTTTACTCTTAGCTGTTTAAACGTTTTTGTCATTTTAAAATTTATTTCAAAGAAATGTCAAGTTCTTAGTGATATATTTAAAATTGTAGATATAATGGTTAGATTTAAAAGCGAATAAAGGTAGTTTTAATACTTGCTTTAAATGGGAAATTAAAATCAAAATCTACAAACAGAAAAAAAATCCTTCACTGCAATATCAAAAGTATTTTTTTTAATAATTAAAAGTAACAAAATCTAAAGTGTGTGTGTATATATATATATATTACTGTTCATATATATATATATATATATATATATACAATAATATAAGTATATGATTAGATTATGTACAATTATTTTATAATATTTGTATTAAGTATACCATACCAAATATATTTTATATTAAAATACATACTGACTTAGGCCTAAAAAAAATCACATTTCATCATTACAATCATAAATATTTTTGTGCCCAGAGTGCGAAAATTACTTTTCAGTATTTACATTATCTCTAAAAAATAAATTATTTTATGAGAGACTTTATGGTTAATTTGCAATCTATTTTTCAACTGTTATATTATGATGATTAATGATTATATTATTATGATACATTATTGACTTTATATGTTACATCATGCACTTGATATGGCATCGGCCATTCAGCACAATAAGTAATTTTACAGTTTTATGTTTGTTTTTTTTAATTCTGTGTTGTTAGTCAGTGGTCGATCATAACATGTTCTCACTATTATGAAAAAGATAACAAATCGTCGGAAATTATGTATTATTTATTTAAGGTACCTGTTTTGGCGGGAACTGTCACTGCGGTTACCATGGTGACGGTCTGCGCAGGTGAAGTCCGCGCCATCAGCCCGGTCCTCCAGTCCAGCGGGTGGCGTCACAGTCTCTCCCACGCTATGTGTGATCCGTGAGTGTTCAGTGTAAAAGAGGAGGAGGCCTGTTTAATTTCTCGCCCTTTGGTTGCGAAGTTCGCGTCCGCTCAAAGTAGCTCGTTTGACATCGGGCTCATGTCGAAGGACGGCCGGTACGATGGGCGCCGTCGCGGCGTGGGTCAGCAGCACCGGCTCGGGCTGAGGTCGGGTCAGAGCGGGGACGGCAGAGACAGATCGGCCAGTAACAGCTCTGGATCATCTCATGGAGGAGGGAAAGGCAGGAATACGCCCATCAACATCGCCCTAAAGGTAACAAACAACAGCTCTCTCAAAACATAGCGAGCTGCTTACATAGACAGCATTTTTGGGCATCATAGGCGCTCTCTGAACGCCCAGAAATGCTGTCAGAGCATTAACTTACCCTAACAGAGTTACTATGGGAGCAGTGCTTTTCCTTCAAAACAGCACAGTTGCTACAGTTATTGTTGCTACAATACAAAACTGTGGTAAAGTTTTGATGCCGGCTGTCATTCTGAACGCTTCTTACACTGTATGCTTATTTGTTACCACTATAACAATGTATCTGTCAACAAAAATGTTGTCCGGGTAGGCAGCACTGTGCTTGAGTCTATATGAGCTTGTGCAGGTGTGATCCACTCACATGGATTGTGATATAGTGTGCATATTCTCACACACCTGAGGCAAGAGAGTGTATTTGCAAGGTGTATTTGTTAGTGCTATATTGTGTGTCTTATTGTGACCTGAAAGGTTTCTTTTGTTTTCCGTAACATCAGATATTCAGGGTATTGTGGGCAGTCATAATTTGTCAGCCCATAATGGATCTTCAAGACACAGATGATGAACAATACAACATGCAACCATAACATTACACAACAGTGACACACAACAGAACATAACAGAAAAGTACCTCGCATGAACGTGACAAAATAACAGTAATACAATGCAACATGTTTACATGGCATTACATAACAGCAACAACACAATATAATATTATTAGTGGTCGACCAATATATCGCCAAGGCCGATATTTGTATTTTTATTTTTTTTTTCAAATATCGGCATCGGCCGATAAGTTTTTCTGTTTGGCCGATGTGACTTTTTTATTTTGAAGGCGTTGAGAATGGCAGCGCCTGCGATCACAGTTTAACAGTTCTGTCTGATACGGATGGAAGTCTGTCTACTACTAATATAGAACTGTTTTATATATATATATATATATATACAGTATATAGGTATATATTATTAGGCAAACATTATAATACTTTCTCGTTTACCGTCACCATTCAGCAAATACGCATTTATATCGTTTAAACAAATCTTTGAATGTCTAATAAACATTTAATTTCACAAACCTTGCAGAGTTAGTCGAATCCAGCTGTGGGATCTTGTGAAGTGTGCATTTGGTGTGTTACCTTGGCTTTATTTGGAAAAAATATGATTCCCAATGCGCACAAACTGCCCAGATTACTGAGTGCCCTGTTGTTTACAGTGTTTAATTCCTTTTTATTTATATATATTTTAAATATTTCTTTATTTGTGAAAAATACTTTAATAGTATTACAGAATCAAGAAGTTGTCATCTAAAGTATAAGTATGTTTATTTGACACATTTATTTTTTAATTCATTTTAAAATGATTTCAAATTTCTTAAATATTAATTCTATCTATCCGTCTATCTATCTATCTATCTATCTATCTATCAGCCCTGGTCTCTAAGATATCGGCATCGGCTGTCAAAAAACCTATATCGGTTGACCACTAAATATTATATTAACGGTACATAATATTAGCATGACAAAAACATGACTACTTAAGTAAAATAATTCAACATATCATTTACATGACAACATAATAGAAAACGGTAATATAATTCAGCATAACATTTACATGACAATAACATTACTAAATAACAGTAATATAATTCAACATAATGCTACAGAACATGACATAACAGTAACAACAAAACAGTATTGTAACTCAACATAACATGACATAACGACACGTAACAGTGCAAAATAACATTACCATAACAGTACATAACATTAACATGACATCTTAACATTTAAATAACAACAGTGACACCACACACCATAACATAACAACATAACGTTAACATGTCAACATATTACATAACAGTAATACAATGCAACATAACATTAACATAGCATTAGCATAACAGTACATAACGAGAAAATGCAGTAAAAATATATGTAACTGGTAGTGTAAATGACTAGATCTTGCATCCAATTGTTTTTTATTATTTATTTATTTTTTCAATTGCATGGCTGCTTTTCAAATAAATAAACCCTTAGGCATGAAATTATTGGGTCTAAATTATTTTAATATGTGAAAACAAAGAGAGCACAGAGACTCCAGAAACGCCCTTCAGGTCCTAAACCTGATCTACGTGTCAGTGTTTATTTTGCAATTATGACCGTCTGATTGTATTTTATCCTGCTTAGTATAAAGTTGCTTGACAAATAAATACATGATGAACATGGAAGACTGAGACAGAACTTGAACTCAGGCATCAGTTTGTTAAATTAATTGATCTATAATGTTGTTTTTACAAAATGTGAATGTAGAGGGAAAGAGTTATGGTAAATATTGTCTGTGGAACCAGTTTTGTCTGTTTCCACTTGTTTAGACAGCATCAGCATCAAAGTGGTAGTAGTCATTAATTTGACATTTTCATTCTTTTCACGCATGTAGAATTCCCAATTCAGATACTGGAATTTTAAAATGGAGTTTTCCAGGCCTGAAAAAGTTTTTGAAAAGCAATTAAAGGTCTTAAAGTATTGTTGAGCATCTGTTTCAGGTTTTTTTTTTTTTTTTTTTGCAAATTAATGCACGCGTCTAATGTAAACAACTATTCAACAATGTTCCATTTGTTTAATATTTGAGAGCAAATTACCTGAGCAAGTTATTTATCAAGCAACCAACTGTTTTATTCCAAGTACACGTACTCATTTTTTCATTGCTCTTGTTGTCTTCAAACCGTAGATATTTTTGCACGCTGTCATCCTCGCGGCTGTGTCTGCTCCACATCTTGTTGCCGCGTCTCTATTGACATCTATATCCCCAGTGTGAGTTACGCACCGCCGAGCTCCAATCGGGCGTTGAGTCTGCGTCGTGTCCAATGCAGACGCGCTGACACACACAGCCCTGCCGCCTCCAGCACAAGCTGGACGAGTGGGCGGCCTGCCGTGTGCACATGACTGCACAGAGAGAGGAGCTCTGCACGATACTCGGCCAAGCTGTGGAGGGTGACTACGCCACAACTAAGACAGCAAAACAGTAGCGGCAGAGTCGCTCTGCAGCCGAGATGTTGCAGAAAGACGGTCCCTATGGCCAGGAGAAGT